TTATTATTATTATTGTAGTAAAACTTCAGGTTCAGGTCCTGAATTGAATCAATTATTCCAAAGTAGGCCAATAATCATATATTTTTTTACTTATGGTGCAGTTACTGACAAATCTAAACATTATGGTCACCATGGTAACCACACACCTGCATCTGTCACTCCCTGACTGTCACCGTCACACAAGTCTTTTTATCTTTTGTAGGAGATAAAACAAAGTTAATACTCTTCACTTCCTGTTTTAAGAAAATATTAAATTATGACTAAATCTGAAAAAAAAAGATCTATTTTTTACATTTCATTTATTTTCTATAAGAACCATAAATATTTGTTGAGTTTGTGTGTAAAAGTTTAAAAATGTTGAAACTATTCAGAAGTTAGACAGAATGTCTTGTGTCAACAGAGACCAACCAGAAGGTTCTGGATCAAACCCAGAACTCACTTAGTCCTGGGTCTGAGAACACAGTGAGACTCAGACCGATCGCTTTATTTTATATTTATAAAGTCCTGACGTTTGTCTACAGACAGGATTTTAAAATCCCTGACACAAACTAAAACACTGAAAGTTCAACTCTTCAAATTCTTTAATTGTCTTAAAACAAAACATTTATTTACCTTTTTAAAGGTTCATTAATGATGTTGGTTTGTTTGTTCTGAGGACAATCAGTCAGTTTGTCTTCCAGAGGATGGACACCTGTCTCTGCAACAAACTGTTTGCAAACAGCTACAAGACTTAGCGTGCTAGCAAGGTGTGCTACATACAGCAGTAGAGCTAGCAGTCGAGGCTAACAACCAGAATTAGGTGTACTGGATGAAGAAGCATTACTCTGAAATTAGAATCCTACAGAAACTAGAGTTTACTTTCAGTCTGGCATTGTGTGGATTTTGTGAAGTTGACAACATGAAGTYGTTGAAGCGTAAAACAGCCTCTTAAAGGGAAACTTCAGCACATATTAATGTGAAGAACAGCCTCCAGTGTCATTAAACAAGCTGCTCAAGGTGAATTATGTGCAGAATGTCTTCTAGAAGCTGCCTTTAAAACAGACCCTGAGTCTCTGTTACATTTCAAATCAACTCAGTGAATGGCTTTTATACTATATATATA